AGTACTTACTGTTCTGCTTTTTTTTTTTTCTTTTAATCTATAAGAAATAATAAGGTAATAAGCCGGGGTGAGCAGGATGTGTTTTGTTTTTTTTCTGGTGTATGGTTTAATGGAATTTTTCTGCACCTATAGTGAGGTGTTCAGGATCAGCTTGTGAGGTACTCTTCCTGTGTAATATTTCACAATCTGGAACAGCTATGTAGGATATTTTTGCCTCCTGCATTTGGATGAGGGGGTTCTTCTCCATGGGGAGACACTTCAGACCCTGGAGAGGCTGCAGAGAACAACAGGAAAGCAGAACTCTGCTGTTTGCTTGCAGAGGGTGATTTCTGGGGTCGTTGCCTGGCTGTAGATCTGCTCCAGATGCTCCACAAAGCAGCTGCCATGGGGAGGGAGCTGCAGGGGATGGTGACTGCGGGARGTGTGGAAGTGTCTTCCTCCAAACACAGTGGAACTTTTACTTCTCTCTTTTTCTGCTGTAATGGGCTTATACTGCAATCCAACCCCTAGCAAATATATTAAAATCAATATACTGGTTTAAATATTTTAGGAGTAAAATATACTTAAAAGACATTGTCCTTTATCTTTTTAGCAGTGAATGAAACTACTACTAACAACATGAAAGCAATTATATAATGTTTGTGTTGATAAATTGGTCATTGGTTGGGTATTGTTGCAGGAATCTGACTGCAATTAGCAGAGAAGATGTTTGAGTCTAGTTTCACCCCTAATTTGAGTATTGARGTGAACTTGAAGCCTTACAAAGGAAAATAGATCTCACTGAAGAAAGAAGGGTGAAGTTCTTACTCCCAAATCAGTCATTATTTGCAAAAAACTTGAAGAACTCAGATTCATTTAATTAAATGTTTGATTCATTTTTCTCTATTATGCTTCTGAGACACAACTGTTCACAATTTTTTTTTTTTAAATACAATTTCATATCATGAAAATCCTTGCTGCTTTTTCACACAAATGCACAAGAAAGAAAGTTTGGTTCTTCTAATACCTTAGTATTTACCTGAAATGCAAAAACTACTATGAACAGTTTTCTTCCCCACAAAGCTATCCAGTCTGAGTTTATTGGTATCTGAGGTATTGGTAGGTGACTTCTTCAGGYTTTTTTGAATTAAATATGACTTCTCAGTCTCTTCAGATTGACCCTGTTCAGCTGGAAACGCACATTACAAAAAGAGGCATTTTTTAAAACATTAAAAATCAAAGATTGTCAGTATTTTGAATGAAATGTAGAACATTCTGTTAGCTATCTGTGCATGCACTTATTACCATCTCCAATATTACTAGTCTTTTCCTCCTGAAATCTGTCTGGTTTTGAAAATATGCAAATAGTTGTATTTGAAACATCACTTTTTTAGTCTGTTTTATAGTGTTGAGTTCTGTCCCATGTAATAGAGTGCATTTCTGTTGGCCCCCCATTCTTAGTTCTTTTCCTTTTTTTCTCATAAATGGGTGTGGAATGGGATGGAAGAAGTTCAGGCATTATAATGTGCATTCCAGGACTGTTTGTGCTGAGCTGACTTTAATGTCTACAGGACGAGGGTCAGAAAAGCCCTTTYAATTATGTACAAACATCCAAGAGCTATAGACAAGAACTCCAGCCATTGAGAAGAGTAACCCCAGCACTGATGAGTGCTGCAAAAGAAAAGATCCCCCAGAAACCCAGTTAATGGCATCTTTGTTCCTAACCTGTGACTTTGCAGAAGTCCTGATACTTCRGGTTTAAAAATTAACAATGTAGACCTGAAGTGAAAACAATACTTTAGGAGTGGGGATGAAAAAAACTCTTCTCTTTTCATCTTTCCCCAATGATTTGAAGGCAAACACCACCGCAGGCAACTTCCGAACTTCCATAATTGCAAATTCCTTGTTAATTGGGCTTTTCTCTTGCTTTTGAGCTCTTTCTTGAGTAATGCCTGCTTTATAATGATTTGTGTGCAGACAATAAATGTAGAGATTTAATAGGATGAAGGCTGTGTCTCCATATAAAGATATTTAGCCTTTAACTCCCATTGAAATCAATACCTTTCCAAATCTCGTTACGACCTAAAATTAATATGCATTAAATAGGATTATTATTAAATGTTTGAGGGATAGAAAGAGAATAAAAACGCTGTTCTTCTCTAAAAGGATTGTGAAAATTGTATCCTTAGAATTGCATGATAATTGTCCCAGTAACTTGATGCTTTTTGCATTATATGTGCTCAGTTTGAAAATAAGAAGTCGGTGACCGTGTCAGCAAATTAGAAGGGAAACTTGTTTCATTCCTTGCTTGGACTTCAACACAAGTTAAAAAACTCTGCCTTTCATCAGATTCTTTATGATGCCTGTTCCTCCAGAGAGACTGGGGATAACAGATTTTTTGTGATTTACTAGAAGGTGAAGAATCCGAATTATTTTCTCTAAGCAATGCAGATGAGTTGACTAAGGAGGGATAAGCAGTATCTTTTGCTCTGAAAGAGGCCGTGACACAAATAAGGAAATGCAGCTGCTGCTTTTTTTCTTCCCARAACAGAGTCATAGGTTTGGGACTTTTGGTTGGTTCAGGAGTGCTGGCAGCAATGTGTGCATCTGCAGGGATGGGTGACATCTCAGTTCTGAGACCTGGCCAAGACCAGCGAATTTCATCCCATCTCTCATCAATGTATTCATTCTTGCATGTTTTCATGCACATCATGTTGTTACTGAAAGGAACAGTGAAAGTACCCATAAGTCTAGCAGGGAAAGATCGTTTGCTCTGTAATTCTAAACAAATGTAAATATCAGGAGCATCCATGCTTGGCTGTGGAGTCTAACCATGGGTGATCAGGGTTGGTGGGACATAACTGGTGACCTAACAACACTGTCAGGAGAAAAGGGGCATGAACAACCATTGGCAAGGCTGCTGTTTCTTAGTACATGTAGTGATTGTMCTTCTCAGGCAAATGTGGCTTTCTTAAACAGTACAGATTCTGGTTATGTTTTCTGTTGGGTTTAGGTTTGGAGTTTTTTGGTTGTTTTTTCATTCCACCCCTATGTAGGACTTCGGAACAAAGGATTATGTGCAGCAAATCTTACAAAAGCACAGCCACCAGTTTAATTTATCCTTTATCCCATCATCACTCATCTTTTCACTGTTTTTGCATTTGCTCAAACTCTCTTGATGTCAGACTGCTTCCCTGGCATTAGCTCTGAGCAGAGAAACTGTTTTATCTGCAGTCACATGAACAATTCAGTGGTGCAAACACAGTAACAGGGCTGTAGTTAGGGCTCACATGATAAGTGTTTCTGAAATGAGATTGATGTTCTCAAAAGTCACAAACAGGCAGATAGCTAAGAAAATGGTGAAGGACATGACCCTTTCTGTTCAAAGGGTTTGACCCAAACCCCAGTTTTTAAATTAAGATAAACTAGCCTGATTATATCAGAAGGATGCTAAAGTAACAAGAGGAACCTTTATTTTAAGCAGGATTCACTCTGGGGTTTGCGGAATACTGGGCTGATTTGACAGGGTACCTGTACCTTTTCTTGTTGTTTTTTTGCTGGTCCATTCCAAAATCTTCTGCATCATGGTCAGTGCTTTCCCTTTTAGTGAAAAATGTAAGACTTGTTGGCCAATGAATAGTGCTGCATATGCCAGAAACTCCTGTCTCAGATGAGTGGAGGAGAGGTGACACAACTGTCTTTCTGTGTCATCATTGTCTTTTTCAAGAGGCTTGGGTTGACATTGTTTTTGACACTTCCAATTATAAGATTCAGTTTCCAGAGTCCAGAATTGAGTCTGTGTTTCTTTCTTTGGAGTCAATAAGTGTTCAGTGAGACATTCCCAAACAACACTTCTGTCACACCTGTTTGCAGAAAGGATGGAATGTGCTGCCAGTTATTCCCTGACCTCGATGAAGATCATCTACATCTTCCAGCACTGGAGCTGGTGAGAGTGATTGGCAGATATCATTCTCCCTAACAAAATTTCCAAAGATTTTATCCAAACACACTGATTAGACATTTACTTATTGAGAAAATTATTTGCAACGTGCTGGGTGTTTGTTTGCAACTGAAACCTTTGAGCAGGGCCTTGAATATGTAGTCTGGTGTAATGCTGAATCCTCTGAAAAAAATGAGCCCATGTGACCCAAATTAAGTGTTCACTTTTCAGCTTGATCTCTTGGCACTGAGGAACTCATCTGGGACAATGTTATCCCTGCAAAGGAATTTGCTGAAATTGAGTTGTGCAGCRTTTGCAACACAGTCAAAGCAATCATGATTAGAACTTACGGACCGTAGCAAAAATATCACCTTTTTTTCAATGAGGATTTGAATACTACTTGTTTAATGTCTGTYCAGAGCACAGGTTAATCAATGAAATTTATGGTAAATATCAGTGCTTGAACTTCTTGAATGTCTGTGCATGGTCTGAAGAGGACTTCCTGTGGAAATATTGTGTGACTAAGTAATTAACAACTATAGCCATATTCCATACTCCCTGAAGAAATAAAAGTTGCTCAGGAAGGCTAACACTTGGCATTTTCGAATGTTAATATTTGTCACATTCCAATCTTAATAATGCTCTTTTGACATAGTGTTTATTTGAAATGTTACAGAAGGTAAATTAACTCTGTATATTTCAATGCCCTGAGGAACATTTAATGAGAAATAAATGCCTTTTTTTTTCACCAGCTGAACATCTGAGTATCCTTTATAATGATAGTTATACATTTGGATTTAAATGAAAATACGCAAAAGTTGATACCACCTATATAAGAGATACCCTTAAACCTTTCTTTGAGTAGCATGGTTTGGTGTATTGTTTATAAACGTAATCCTGCCACACAGGCAGTAATCTTTTGAGAAAATGAGGATCTGCTACATCTTAACAGGCTTTTCATTTAGAATGACTTTATGCTTGCAACTCCTATATTATAGTAACCACTCATTAATAACTTTTTTCATCAAAAATATGAGAGAGATAAATAAATTCTAACGAAACTTTTCTTTCCTCTTTGCAGGTTTCTTTTACAATGTGTTCGGCTCAGGCCAGTGAATTTTGTTTAACTGATCAGGTAAGCAAATATGCATGTTCATATTTTTTTTCAGAAAAATATTTTCCAGACATTTGACAACTAATTGTGAGAGGTTGGTGTTCTGAATTCATGGAGAAAATTTGCAAAATCTGTCATAAATACGTTCAAAATGCTTCTGTTAGTTTGAAATTATAAAAAATCCCAAAACCAAAACAGCTGAAATTTGAAGAGTTCTACCCTTTTCAGTTAGAAAATTTTCCACATTTTCCAGATGTTTGTATTTTTATTCTTTCTCTCCTTATTTTCTTTTGTCCTTGTTTCTTCATATTTTACATTGATATTTATGGGCTTTCTTTGGTTTTTTCAAAGTCTTAGAAGTAGAGCTTTTTTTTTTTTTTTTTTGCCAATCTCTCTCCACCTACCAATATTTCATCATTGCAAACAAAACTGCTGAGAACTCCAGAGATGGTATTTTAAAACCATGGGAATGGCAAAGCAATGCTGTAGTGACTGCAAGACAGTAGAGATGGAAGTAGAGATGGCTTTGGAAATTTGTAAACACCATTTCTGAAATCAGCAAAGTACAATTATGAAATGAATGAAATTGCAGCTTATGCTCTGGTTTGATTGGTACTAAAAAACCAAAGGTAAAGCACCAAATTGCACTCTTACTATGCCTAGGTTGGCAGACTGGATTCTGTGTTTTGTCTGTGGAAATTCAGCTTGCTGGCTGTTGTAGGCAGTTTGCAGAAAACATCTCTTTTGTCCATCTCTTTTATCATTCTGGGTTTTAATGAGGGAGTTGGGCAATATCGTTTACATGCAGTGCAGTTTTAACATTGCCTACACCAATCTGACAATTTTTTGATGCTTTTTAGAGTGATGTGGGCAAAATGAATTAAAGTTGCTGTTTGGGATGGAATATTATGTTCACAGATATGGTTTGCCTTAGATTAAAATTTTTGTGCTTTCTGATGAGCTTATCTTAGCCTTGGCTAGAATAACCAAAGACAGCCAAAAGAGTAAATAATATCATGGTATTCCTTTACAAGTCTTTCTCTTATTTCATGTTAAAGTGTTCCATAGCTCTAGATTTTTATCAGTTCTGTTAATCTCACCTTTAATTTAGATAAACTGTTYTTTGATCATGTTATCATTCTAACTTCTTGACATTGGGTTTTTCTGTGGTGCTGCCAACAGCTGGAAAGCTTTCTCAGTCTAAGTGCACCGAGGGGAAATTTGTTCACTGTGGATCTTCTCCTGAAAATTTCATTCAGACCCATTTCTTCCAATACTTTTTGTTTCCTTTTAAAAAATGAATGTCTGTTTCAGWTAGTGCTGCATTTTGGGTTTCCCCAAAAGGAATATTCCTGGGTTTTTTTGCAAATTAGTTCCAATCACCCTTGCAAGGGAAGAAATYTTGTTTTAAAAACACCTAGTGGTTTCAAATGTTGATCTTGAGAACTTCTCAAAAGCATTTCATATTAAAAGTTTGGAMAATTGATCAAAATAAAAATAAGAATTGTTTTTGGCCCCCAATATGTGTGCCCTRCTTTTCTGGATCTTTGACATGTCCAACTTAGTAATTTCTGCAAGATTCATTATTATGCAGGCTTCAGACTTTCTTTATGGTATTTTTTTCAAAATATTACAAGATATAATAAATAACAGTAAATGAATCCATAAATAATATAATTTTAACCACTCTAGCAAAAATGTGGTTGTTGATGATGTCAGACCTTTTCCTTATTGCATCAAGGTGTCTCCTGCAGAGCTTGCCTTGCTGTTTGCCTTGCAGATATAAATTGTAATGAAATTGTAATGCTTTTATTGATTTGGAATAATAATTGGTTTACTCATAAATATAAGATAATTGAGAAAACAAATCATTGTGGCTCAAATAGCTAATTTAATTTTTTTTAAGTCTCTGCTTCTTTAAATATCATTAATCATTTTTCTGAAAAAAATTCAGTATATTTAGTAAGATTTCTCCAAATATGTCTTTGATGGGACATTTTTAATAGTCATTTTATTAAAAGAGTGAAGTAAAATTCATCAAAAATTTATTTTTTGTGAATAAATTATTTTCTCCCACCTCTTCCCTGTACTTTCCATAATGTCTTACTTTGGCCACCACTCTGAAAGATTGCCTGGTCTGTGTTTTTGGATATTTGTCAGTCAGTAACTTTCTTTTCAAGGAAACAAGTCCAAAGGCAGAGATTAGATCCCAAAAAAATGTTTCAAACTGGGCAAGCTCAAGAAGTGGTCCATGGGAATCTCATGAGGTTTAAGAGACCAAGTCCAAGGTGCTGCTCTGGGCCGGGGCAATTCCTGGGGTCACTCCAGGCTGGGGCTGAACAGAGCCAGAGCAGCCCTGGGGGAAGGCCTTGGGGTGCTGTGGGTGAGAGGCTGGACATGGCCCGGCCGTGTGCGCTGGGAGCCCAGAGCCCCCCGTGTGCTGGGCTCAGCCACAGCCCCGTGGGCAGCAGGGCAGGGAGGGGATTCTGCCCCTCTGCCCCGCTCTGCTCAGACCCCACCTGCAGTGCTGCATCCAGCCCTGGGCTCCCAGCACAGCAAGGACATGGAGCTGCTGCAGCCAGCCCAGAGGAGGCACCCAGGGGATCAGAGGGATGGAGCAGCTCWGCTGGGAGGAAAGGCTGGCACAGCTGGGATTGTTCAGCCTGGAACAGAGAAGGCTYTGGGGTGACCTGATTGTGACCTTCCAGTACCTGAAGGGAGTGCACAGGAAAGATGGAGAGAGTATTTACAAGGGCCTGGAGGGGCAGGATAAGGAGGAATGGCTTCAAACTGAAAAAGACTAGATTTAGATATTAGGAAGAAATTTTTTGCTGAGGGTGGTGAGGCCCTGGCACATGTTTCCTAGAGGAGCTGTGGCTCCCCATCCCTGGAAGTGTTCCAGCCAGCTTGGATGGGGCTCTGTGCAATGTGGGATAGTGGACGGTGTCCCTGTCCRTGGCAGGGTGTTGGAATGAGATGATCTTTAAGGTCCCTTTTAAACCTGGGCAATTCTGTGATTCTGTGGACTGTTCTCCTTACTGGCTTTATTCACGGCCTGCTATGCCCTTAATGGTGAYGTTTGTAGGCTTTACACAGTAGAAAACATGAGCTGCTTCTGGTCCATGAGCATAATATGTCTTTGCATGTGTATGGATTCCATGTGCATTCCATACATTTCCATTAATTAATTTTATCCAGCTAATGATCATGTCTGTGATGAAGTAACTGACTTGGCTGAACACAGGTGATGATCAGCAACTCAGCATGGAGGGCAGTCCTTAATACTGATATTGAAATGGAAGCTGAGATTAGGTACCTTTCATATCTCTTTACCAACTTTAAATATGCATCAAAGTATTTTGAAGATTTTTCATGTTTTGATTGGGCCCCCTGTTCTGTCAGCATTTGTGGGGTGGGATTGGGATGCTCTGAGCCTGCACAGCTGCTGGCTGACTGAGATGTTGGGTTACTGCACAGCACACAAATTGTGAACCAGTAATTTGCTMTATGCAATGGAAAATGCAACAGGAAAAGGCTTATTTTTATTTTTTTTTCACTTTTTAAAGTTTGCGTTAAAGCAACTCGTGACACCTTGTATTTTCATTAAAAGGAGAAAGTTTGGGTACTGTATGAAATAATAAAAGCTCTAAATAACTATTTTGAGGCAAAAAAATCTTAGAAGTATGCTCAGTAACAGCTCTGGTRAATGGCATGGCAATTTATTCAGAAGTTTTTTGTACTCCAACAKTGCCTCTTTAAAATGTTCAGAAGTTTTAGCAAGTTAGGACTATTGTAACACGTCAAGTTCCTGGCAGATACAGAAGAAACTATAAGGAACAGCCATTGGCAGTGGAAATTGGATTCACAGTTTTCACACAGGGAATCTGGTTGCCAGTGTTACACTTGAACAAAACCACAGGATTCAGCTGATTTCTCTCCACTCAGGTCTCAGATACGAGAAACCCAGTACTGGACATATGAGCCTCAGGTTTCATCTCACGTGGTGGTTTCTATATTGTTATTTTGAAGTCCTATATGGCATAAAACCGTGTGTTTGTTTCTGTGCACCAGGATGAGTTTCATACAGAATCAGCACAAATGAAATCATTTCAGTTTGCCCCTGAAAAATTAACAACCATAAGCAAAAGAAGAGTAGTTTCTTCACTAAGTCTAGGGCATTGCATGTAATTGTACTCAGAACTCTATGAATCTCTGGGTGAGTGCAAAAGGTCCTTTAAAAGGTAATGCTGATATGAAAAAAATGCAATTTTATTCTTGTGCTAAAATTTTGGACTACTGAAAATAATTTCATTCAGAGGAATTTTCATAAGGCCCAGCAGTAAATAATTGCTCTTCTGGACCCTTTTTTTAAATGGCAAYAAGAGCATATGAATGTGTGCATTTCTGAAAGAGGTTTAATTTGTTAGAAGGTCTGTTTCTTTTTCAGCTTTCAGGATGTGCAAGAACATGAACTTTAGTACAAGTGGTTATGAAAAGGTGTCTTGTCGGTTTTGCTGTTGTGGCATTTTGATTTGCTGAGAGGGTRTTTCTCTTCAGTTTACATCAGTAGTGGAAGACCCCAGAACTCAGATTAACTTGAAATATGTTTACATTTGTGGTACTTTTATTTAACTAGTCCTAAATTCACTTGCAATTTCCCTTCTTACGCAGTAGTATCAGCTGGTCAATTTACTCAGTCCTGGGGATTACTTGTATGTCAAATTTCTCCAAGTTTTTGTTGGGTTTTTTTTTTACAACTGAGTGACATTCTTCAGGGAGTTAGTACATTTATCTGCCTCTTTTTAGCCGGAGGTGGTCACCAGAAATTGTCCTTCACTTGGACCACATGTTTTGATGAGTSCTGAGTCAGATCCTGCACCCACACAGCTCAAACAGAGCCTTATTTCAGGTGGACCCAGCCTCTCCTGGGCAGATGTCACCCCTGAGGACTAAAGGCAGTATGTACTTTATGTTAGGGAAAGGAAATCCAGCCTTCACTCTTGGATCAGGGCTGTTGTCCC